CCCCAAAACCCCAAAACCCCAAAACCCCAAAACCCCGTGCCACTTCACAATATTGAATAACTACAAATCCTTGATCCTCACCTTCTTCTCTGGCTGGTTATAATCAGGAATAGGGTTAACTCTGGAGCTTGATTTCAAGAATCCCATTCCTGCTTTAATTTTGGTCAGAATTCTACGCTTCTTATGAGAAAGGTTCGACTTGAGCATTCTTTTGAGCTCTTGCTCTTTCTTCTTTTCTCTTACTCTAATGTTGTCGTATCCGCCCATTCTTCTGTACTGTTCAACATCGTTTTTATCAAATGCTATAAGTCAGCAAACCAAAGTACCATAATGGTTTTCGTCATCAGAGGCAGGGTCTATAGATCATGTAGATAATTATACCTTCAGAGTCAGACCGTTTGCTGAAAATGAGAACTCTTTCATTGTTATCTATATAATCAGAAGGAAAGTACTAGCTGGGGTTCTAGTTCTCTTGAGGTTGAAACCTTTGAGCATTCCTCCAACCCTTTCTTCAGGATGGGAGATCTCAGGGAGGCTAGTAGAGACTTTCATCATTGCTTTCTTCTCCTCCTCCTCTTCTTGTTTTCTCTTACGGATTAGTTCAAGGTCTTTACGCTTCTTTTCTTCAAGTTCTTTCTTCTTTTTCTTAGTCATCACAGGTTTATTTGTTAAAAATTTGAATTTTAGATGGCTTTTCCTGCCCAGGAAGTACCTTAACTATTTTAGACCTCTTCGCCGTAGGCTTGTTCCGCATACTAGGCATTTGGTAAGAAGAGGCTCGAGTCTTGGTGATTTTCCTTGGCGCTAGTCTAGGCTTACCCAAAGGTTTCTTCTTCGGAGGAGAGGGAGGTTTAGGAGCTTCCTAAGAAGTTAAACCCTGAATATTACCTCAATCTTTTTAACTTCTTCCTTAGCCTCCTCTTTAATTTCCTCTTGATCAGATTGGCTTTTATGGTCGCTTAGCCTGTCATGTTCATCATCAAATGTTTGTAGTTCACCTTTGATGCCTTCCATCCACTCTTTGGAGAACTATAAGGTGTGAGTTTATTCAGGATTTAGATGAGAATTTGTACCACAGAATCGTCTATACATAAAGCAGGACACTTACTCAAGCCGGTAGTATAATTTTCTGGTGGAAAATAGCACAAGAAGTGAGGAAATAGGTCATTGTTCGGGTACTCAAAGTCTCCCATTGCCATTAGGCCAACTCTTATACTCAAATTGATGTCTTTTTCTTCTGTCCATTGAAGCATAACATTTCTGTTGTAAATGAAAGACATATTACGCTTGATCTTCCCAAATTCTTGAAAGCTGTTAAGAAGAAAGTTCCTAGCTGTTGCAATAGTATGGTTCATCTTATGGGTCGTTAGCCTGAACTCAAATGACATTTTTATTGTAGCAAAGTTTCGATTGATAGATTGTTGCTGAAGAAGTTATCAATTTTTAATTTTGACACAAGCAATGTCTTAGCCAGAAGATTTGATACATCTGAAGGAGTTCGAGGTGATTTCTGTTTGCTCTGCTTCGACCCTCTTCCAGCTCTAGATATAAATCTCACATTCCTACCTCTTAGACAAATGTTTGGAGTTCATTGCGGTATCCAATTTAAAAATGACTCTTCGATTTCTGAAGTTTATCATAGAAATTACCAATATTTTAGGTGAAGAAAGTGAACAGCATTAGGATCAAGGAAGCTCTTCGGGACGCCTTGAAGATTATCAATGTAGATCAAGAATTTCCACCTGATATATTTCTCAACTATAAAGCTAATGCTGCATCTTACCTTTTATAGGACGCATGTATACTCTGTTCTTAGCTTTATTTGTGTAGTAAGCTTCATTCTCATCAGTGATTAGTTTGTCTTTCTTAGTCACAATGTAGTTATTATCCTCATATAATTTGTAATAATTTAATTCAAGCTGTCTATAATCAAGCTCTTCTTGGATCTCCATCAGGCAAAGTCTAGGGCTTGTTAAGATACTTACCGGCACCAATCCTTTAGAGAGACCTCGTTGTCGATCAAAATACCTCTTTGGACAAACTCAGTCTCTTGCTTTTGGTCTAATGGGTATTTTTTGATTCGATTATGGACTAGAAGATTATGAAATTTATTCACTCTTTGAAGCCATATCAGTGCATATTTTAGTTTCTAAAATCACTCTTCAGCGTACCTTTCTCTCGCTTGAGATAATTCTTAGCTCAGTTGGGGCATATGAAGACTAAACTCATGCTATATTTCTTACCTTTCTGGACTGGAACTTCAGTAGTATCGCTTTTATCTGAAAGAATTAGAAAGGAAATTACCTTCTTCTTTCTCTTTTTCCTTTTCCTGTTTCTTTTTCTTTACTAAAAGTTATTAAAAGTTCATCAATTTACAGACAAATTTTCTGAAGGGTCGCTTCAGAGGAGGTCTATCTTTCTGTTCTTTTTGGTCTTTTTGTTCGGAGTCCTCCATTTCTGCTATTTTCAATAATTATCATTTATATTGGGGTTTTGGGGTTTTGGGGTTTTGGGGTTTTGGGG